ATTGGCCATCAGGCTCAAACAATCCTCACCAGAATCTAATTAAGCACTCACTCCAGGTAAACAATTCTCCCAACACATTCCACATAGGAAAAACAAGGAGCAGAAATAGAAATTGTTTTTTCTTTCTTTCTTCTGTGCTCCTCTATGAAAAAATCCTGAGAGAGAGAAGAATGTGCCTGCCACATAATATTAAGACCTTTCAGTTCTAGAACACCTTAAAAACAAAGAAAGAAAGAAAGAAAAAAAAAAAAAAAAGAAAAAAGAACACCTCAAAGCTCCAAACGCACAAGGCTGAAGCTGCATGTGACCATGTTACACGTCCTCAGCTGTGTTTTGGAAGCTGTGCCTCCCCTTCCCGCAGCAGTGAGCTCATCACCGAACCTCAGCGACTGCTGCTGCCGGCCCAGGAGCGCCTCGGGTGATCCAAGCAAGAGTACAGCAGGATGACACGCTCCAGAAAAAGCTTTTTCCTGGAGCAGAAGGGGATAGTTATGGCAAACAGATGGAGGGAATGGAGTCCAAAACACACTGTGTGACCTATCTCTGATAGAGTCGCCTTGCGTTTCGTTCTGGCAGTGCTGGAGCGTTCCCGGTGCCAGCAGAATGTTCCTGAGATGAGGATCTTGTCAGCAGGCTCCAGCCCTCTCCCCGTCAGGATTTAATGGACGACGTAGCCCAGCAGTAAATATTGACTGGGGAGAGACTTATACAAAAAATAACATTACAGAAAAGCAAAACAACAGTATTTTTTCGAAGTTGAGGGAGCACATCTTTGACTTCCAGCTCTGTGACGGGCTTGGATTCATACTGGCCAGATCAAGGCTCTTAAAATCCACAGATAGGAAAGAAAATGAACTCTGAATAGGGCTGTGTCCCATTGTTAATCTCCTTAAATCAAAGTGGGAAAACGGGTTTTTTTCTGTGTTTGACAACACCATGACAACATTCTAAGTGTGAAATGGAAAGTACTGGAGCCCCACAGAGATTTGCTAACAGAGGCATGGGTCAGGAAAAGCAGGGACCAAGAATACCAGCACAGCAACTGTCATACAACGGACCTGGTCCTGCACTTAAGAAGCCTTTGGTTATTTAATACCTGTTCTCTAGGAAAAAATCATCACCCTTTATAGGCTTGCTAAAGTCAATGATAAAACCTAAGAAAGAAAACAGAAGAAAGGGAAAGAAAGCGACCAGCAGCCAAATCCCCAACTGAAGACATCCTCTGTGGCCTGTCTTCTTTGTGTGAGTCAGGAAGAGAAACCATCACACAGAAAAATTTCATTGATATTAATAGTAGAGAGCAGAGTAACACAAAACATTGCAAGTGCAGACATTTGAAATTTATGGTCCCTGCATGCGCCAGGAGCTGCTGCCCCTTTTGAGCTGCCATCTCTTCTTTTGGGGGCTTGCCCCAACCTGTCCCAGCAAAATCAACCCTACCTCTCCTCTCATCCTACTGGACTAGTTTGGCTTTCTCCTGCTCGTTCATTCAGGGTATTTCTGAGCCTGTGGAGGGCACGGGGTTCAGCACAGGGTGGTTTCTGTTTATTTTAGATAACCCTTTGTGACCTCTGCCTGGTGCCTGTCTGCCTGGTGCCTGTCCTTTTTCAGGAGTATGGTGCTGCTTCAAAATTGAAAAGTCTTAGACATTCTAAGAGACTTGGATGCTGAGGTCCTCCTAAATCTTCCTTTAGTCCCAAATCCTCCTTTAGTCACAGTAAAATGCTCTAAGTTTTTCTATGCTGGAGACTGTTTCTGCCTCTGTTTTTACACCGCCAGAACAATGGGATTCAGATGTGGAGCAGGGCCTGTGGGGACTCCTGTAATACAAATAACACATTAGTAGGACATGCTGCTGGAAGTGTGAAAACCAGGGTATAAAATCCCAACTGCTGCATTCCTCTGCTGTTCTGGCAAACAGAACTCGATGGCAAACACAGAAAATGAATGTAGGAGCACCTGAAGCAAAACTGTCTCAGCCCAAGGGACGTGTAGTGGAAACTGCTGGGCAGCGTGTGCCAAGTCCCTGTCCCCAGTGAGTGCTGAGCTGCCTTTCCCACATACCTCCCTCGGGCAACAAAGGAGCTGGATGCCAGGATTTTTGCTGGCTTGGCATTGCACAAAAGGCCCGTGGGGTGGGTACAATGGAATTTAGGCTGGGCACAGAGGCAGCATGGGTCTCCAACAAACAATAGCAACAGCGGGATCAAAACAGCAGGCAGAAAGTGTATGCACAATTACCAGAGCAAAACAGCTGAGGCTGCAAGGACATTACAGCCCCAGCCCTGTCTCCAAGCAGGATCCCACCACTGGTAACCTAACCACCAAGGGATCAGGCATGTATTCCACATGATGCAATGAATGTTATCCAAAAGGAAAGGTGAAAAGCAGAGGGATTAATCCAAGGCCATAAATTCCATTCCATTCCTCCAGGTTGACATGGTGTTAAACAAACCAGTGTCCAGACTTCATCACATAACAGAGGCACAGGCATGAATGTACAGAGGTATCAGCACAGATGACAGAGGCTGGTACAGAAGAAAGCAGGGAAATAAGCACAATCATATCTGAATTATGAGTGCCCAAATGAGAAACACTGGAGAAGAAAAGTGCTCTTATTTTTAAAGAACCCTGATAACTTAGTCCTCCATTTTAGAGGAGAGGAGAGGAGAGGAGAAGAGGATAAAAATTATTTCTGCTGTCTTTATTGAATAGACCATAAACATTATAGATATTTGAAAACCAGCTAATTTGTTTTAGGATGTTTTCAGGAAGAAAAAAATATATTGAAAAAAGTTCAGTTCCAAATATGAATCCTTTAACTTCTTAATATTAATGAGAAAAGCATCTCCAGGTTTAGAGCTTTTGAAAGGCACCTGCTCTATATGAAATCTGATGTTTGCCCCACCTTTTCTCATATTGGCATTGAGGAGAGAGGGAGAGATGAGGATAAAAATGATAATATGAGAAATAAAAAGTAGATTTAGTTTTTGATCACAGCTCTATCAATGAATCAGAGACATCAGAATTTAGTACACCCAGGTAATAACTTGCAGAACTGACTCTATCCTGGGGGATTTAGGCTGTGCTGGTGTTCCACATTACAACAAGAAGAAAAGTAAAGGATGGAGAAGATTTATTAAATTTTTATAACTAGCCAAAATGCTGTGCTAAAATCCTTTCATGATTGCATGATTCTTTGGATCAGAGTTTTGTGCTACAGACACAAAGAATGGTTTGATGTTGTTGATACCTTTCCATATTTGTAATATCTTTTAGAGTTACACCTCTCATTGTTGCTTCCTCAGGATATTTTCTTGCACGTGAGACATGAGCTCCAAAGCTGGAAACCAGCTGAAAACCCAACATGAATAAATGGAGCTGCTCAATAATTAGTCTTCAAGTACTACATGGAAGCTTGAATAGGGAATTGAATGGGATTTCATTCTGGAGAGACCTGGAAAATGAACAGGCCTTCAGTGTATATGAAAAATAACACGTGCAGCTACTTTAAAACCTTTCTCGCTCTCACAGTGGAGCAGTTCAGGTCTGCCAGCATGGCACTTCCCAGCTCAACAAGTGACAGACACAGAATAGTTCTCAGTCCACTCAAAGAAAACTGTCAAGACAAAATGTTCTATACATTTCAGAAACAGCTGCCTGGTTTGATTTTTGGGTTTAGATAGCTAGAGAAGATTTCTAAGTCTGTTCAGGTTACTATTAAGCAGGAATTTTTGGATGGAAATGGAAAGAGTTTTACAATCTTTTTGCAAGTGCCACCTTTATGATTATTACATGCTAATATCTCATTATAACTGTTAAAGTCTCATTTCAAGTGCAGAGGCCATGATCCTTAAATACAACAGTCAGGACTTCCCACAATTTTGCCTGGCTGGCAAAGAGATAAAATATGGATATCTAAAACAGTGCAGAAATTCTTGATGTGAGGTGAGTATCAGCTGCTGATTAGAGAGGAGCAAACCAGAGTCAGGGCATCAGTATTTATCCCTTGTATTTGAACATTTGGCCCTAACATGGAACCACCTTTCAGCAGGATCTGGTATAAAAGTGAACGTGACAGACTGAGCAGCAGCTTGGTGCAAGTGGATGTGGCTGAGGCATGAGTAACAGTTGCTGATAAAAGCTAATCAGCAACTCCTCAAGGCCTACCTGGAACTTACATCCTGAAATAGCCTGCAAGTCTCATCTTGTCAAGTACTTTTTTCAAGTGCATTAGCGCCTGATTGCACACAAAAAAGGTAAAAAATTAAACTAAGAACTGAAATAGTCAATACCAATCTGTCATGTGGAAGTTTTAATTTTGTTTGTTTGATGTGGATAGAAAATAAATCTTAAAAAAAGTGTTTTACTAACAGTTTCTATGATATTCTGTAATGATAATTTTTATATCAGCAACTGCTGACAATGCTCCAGAATCTGTGGAACTATTAAAAACCTCTTCTTGATTAAGCACTGGGGTCAGCACTAACCTTGTTCATACACCAAATGAAAAAAGCTCTCACTGAGATCTGATCTGCCATGTGACTCATCCACTCTTGACGTTTTCCCAGCAGCTGAGAGGAAAAGTGAAGCAAAGGCTTGTTCTAGAAGAGAGAAGCTGAGCCTGGGCAGGTGGTTCTTTCCAGAGATTTTTGTGCTGGTGCTGTGCTCAGGATCGTTCTTTCCAGAGATTTTTGTGCTGGTGCTGTGCTCAGGTTTGTGAGGAGAGGGGGAGAGGAGCTGCAGAGTTAAACAGGGGGGAAGCAGGGCTCAGCTTCTCCCTGGAGCCAGGCTGATTGCTGAAAGCACTGGAGGAGCAGCCCTGGCAGCAAACAGCTCTGCGGCCTCCAGGCTACCATAAAACAGGAGCTCCTTTTTTCCACAAGAAGAAAAGGGCAGTGTCTGTGCACAAGCTCTTTACCACATGGTGCTTTTGGTGGGGAGGGAAAGCCTGATGCTGCAGCTCAGCAAGCAGGGGGAGAAGAAGGGAAACCTGCTCATTTCCAGTGCTCCTCTACAGCCCTCTTATTCGTAGGGTAGAAAACACAGGCAATGCAGGCACATCAGATTCTTATAGCTGCTATTTAGCTGCTTTTATGAATTCTTTGCCACAGCTTTTCTGGCACCAAACCCGTGTAAGGACTCCACAGCATTACAATCCTGCACTTTCCATCTCCAGGGCTTCAGGGATTTAGTACAGGTACCCTCAAGGGTGAGTTGGCTCCAGTCTCCACCTGTAACTCCCTGGTAACACCATCCTTCATTAACAATTGCTAATGATAACACCAAATGTGCTTTACCTACAGGAAAGGGAGCAGGAAAAGCTGGGCTAGTCAATCCAAAGAGAAATGAACCTACTGAAGACATGCAGATACAGCAAGATGTCTAAACAGAATGACCTGTTATGAGGTAATGCCATCATAGAAAAATTACAACCTTTATTTACACAAGTGAGATTTTTGCGACAACAAAGTTCACAACTGGGGTCACAAGTAATGTAACAGCTCAAGATTGTTATACATAAAATTCCAGTGTAACATGTAGATGTTTAACTAAAATAATTATATAGGAGCTGTATGTATCAAGAGCTAGGAATTCAGAATTCTTTTCCTCTACTTTCAAACTCCTAACAGGCACTGATTCTAGCAAAAGTGTTGCAGTGATTCTCCATCACAATTTGCTGACATAATTGGAAATAATGATATTGTAGCAGCAAACCACCTGAGCATTAAGTGTCTGCCAATGATTTCTGCCTCCTCACACTCTAGTCTTGCAAACTCTGCATGTGAAATCATTATTATTTTTTCACTGACTTCATAAAACTGCTTTTTTTCCTTTTTTCCCTATCTACGTGCTCACAAGCTGACTTAATCAGATTTAAATATGCAGTCTGGGAGCTGCACTGCTTGAAGGAAAGGTTTAGCTCAATACCTTAAGGAAAAGATTTATACCTCAATAAACAGTCATACCTCAAAAAGCCAAGTGACCATAAAAGACCAGTTTGATAAGTGCCTCCACTTGGTGTGTTTCCCCCTCTCCTGATGTAACAGAGCTGATGTCAGAGAAGTCAGCTATCATTGCCATTTTTAGGGCCTTTACATCAGGAGCTGATGAGATTTGTTGGGCCCTGGCTGCTCTAAGAGTTCTGAAATGGAGTTTGCAAAAGACTTATCTGGAATAAATATTTTAAAATTCAGATCTTCCTTCATCCTCTTCTTCAAAAACCATGTTCAGTAATTTTGCAGTGGAGCCAGACAGGGTTTCAAGTTGGAGCAGCCAAAGCAGAGACATGTGGAGAATGTTTTCATCAGCATTATGTACAGGTTTTGTTAGATGTTATCTCCCTCATGCTGGTTGATTACTTGCTCTAACCCCTCCCACACATCCCTCAATTTATTCATTCCTCTTCACCCCAGGAAACACCAAAATAAAATTGCTATTGTTGTGCCCACATGTAATATTTCTTCTCCTTGCTTTTTGTCCCATCTATTTAAAATCATAATCTGTTCAAGACAGAGGCTGTCTGGTTTTCTGTGTTTGTAAATTATGTGACAGATGATACCCAAACTGAAGACGGGCCCTCAGGCATGAGCAAATGAACTTTGGCACTTCTTGATGAAGTGATTAATGCATCTCTCTCACATTTCTACCAGAGGTCACTGTCATCCTGGAGCAAAGGGAGATATAAACTTGCTTTTCAGCCATCTCTCACTTCCCAGCTCAGGGTAAGAACAGGAACAGCTTCCAACTGTCTGTACAAGTTCCTGTGACAGGCTGAGCATTGCAACAACCAAGGGAAAAAAAATCAAAATGTTCATCTATATCTTCCAAACTAATTTCCTCACCTGCAGACTTCCATTCTTTAGAATAAAAATGTTATTTCTGTGTGGCACATTTGACACTTCAGAAGGATCTGTACAGAATGGATTGTACAGCTCCTTAGTAAATATTTTCCATCTTTCCCCATCAGTTTGAAGGGAGGTGCTGTAGGAACCATAGAAATTTCTGTACAACAACAAAAGAGCTTTTGTTGTGTCCCTGGTTCTACTGTCTCAAAGAGCAGAACAATTTAGTAATTAACAAATATTTAGAGGGATTTGTTCAGTGGCCTGAAGCACAATTAGGCAAACTCAGCTCCTGTTGAGTTGGAGAGCTGGGTTTCTAATTGCCCCTATGATACAATATACCTCTCACTCCACAATATAGCAAACACAACTGTGCTGGACAAACAGGTAATAACACAATTATTTAGGCTTTAACAGTTAAATATTTCACAACAGATCAGAAATAGGACTTAGGACACTTAATGTAGTTTCATGGATTCCCTTCGGGGGCTGACACAGCCCCTGTGCCCAGGGGAGAGGAGTTTGGGCCACCAAAGGTTACTGCTTCTTACTCACAAAGCCCATTGTGAAAACCAAAGGAAGCAGGGGACAGAAAAAGAGATCTTTTGGGATTTAACCAGCCCATAAAGATAATATCATAATTTCTTGTTTCCTTCTCTCCCAAAGATGTGTTGGCCAGACAGCTTCATTGCCCACAGATGAGGTAAAAGGAAATTAGCAGGGAAGTCCTGTGGCAGCAATTAGCAAAGAAAAGGAGTTAGGGGCAAAAACCACCTCATCTTCAAGCCCTTTCCTTTCTAAAGCACAGTTTTTATCCTTCCTCCAGGTTTACCAAGAGTTATCCTCCCTTCCTGACCTTACCCTTACCTCAGCAGCCTCCAGCCAGCTCTGAGGGGGACTAAAAGCCAAAGCACACATTTGTGTCCTGCTGGGGGACAATCTTTTTGTGTCCAGCTTTTACCCAGCAGCAGTGTTGGCTGTGGGCACTGCCAAATTAAGCTCCCAGTTCAGATCTACAAACAGCTCCAGGGCTACATCTTCCCCAGTCCTGAAGCCAGAGGGGTTTATGATTCACTGGGGATCAGTGCTTAGGCCCAGCCTGTGGACTACAAGCCCTGGATTTTACTGTCAAAAAGGACAAATTCATTCTTAAACACTTCACTTCTCTTTTTGTTATGGTTCAGGATACACCTTCCTAAGTTGTTCCCTCTGTAAATGTGTAAGGGCATGGATCAGTGCACGTGGTTCCAAGGTTATGTAAGAACATGTCTGTTATCACTGAAAATATGGAAAGGGAGACTTATCTATTCCATATTCTTAATTTGTTCTGGGAAAGAGGATTCATTTAATCAACCCAGAACTTTCTGCTTGACTAATCTTTCTCTCTCAGCGTTTCCCAATCCACATTCTTCTGGAAGGAGAAAGGGCCCTAAGCAATGACATGTTTGAAGTTTACCTGGCAAGGAAGGAGCACTTAGACTGAAATGTGTGTCCACAGATAAGGTGGGAAATGAACACTTTCATGTCTTATGAATTTTGCAATTTTTACTACAGGACAGCCCAACTGTGTTATTTCAAATATTGGCTGAACACTATTTACTGATTACTCTTAGATACAGCAAAAAATGATGTCATGGTTTGGAGTTGCTTTTTGTTTGCTTTACAGCAGTGAAACCTTCTTCAACAAAAGAGTGTAGAATAGTTTCCTTTTTCTGCTATAAAATAGAAAGGCTTGAAAAACAGGTTTTGAAGAGCTCTAGAAACAAAGGCAGACTTAAAAAAAAAGGACTGTTGACTTTGTGTAAAACAAATTAGTTTTGGTTACTTCATCCAACGCTTAAATCATGTATGAGGCACTCATTATATGAGTGAAATAGTGGATTTATGGCTCCTTGGAGAAGCTGACAGATGAATTTCAACTGTAGGAAATATATTTTGGTCTGATGTGCATATAAGAAAAAGAAATATGGCACCAGTTATCATTTACAACTAGAATAAAGTACATCAACCATTTTAAGAGTGAATATTTAAATAAAAATCTTTTGAACAGATCTGAAGTTTACTAAAATCTTTACCTTTCTTTGTACAAGCCTAGATAATAATACCACCTCTTCTTTCAGAGTCTAGGTTATCTTCCATTTAAGGTTCCATCCTATCTCAGCAGACCCTTCCTGTCTCACTTTTTGGCTCAGGATGTTCCACTCCCTTTTGTTTGAGCAATAGGAAGTTCACAGCTCCAACAGGAAGGCCCCACCTTCCAAAGAGAAATCAGATGTTATTTCATGACTCACTTTTCAGGGACAACCTTGATAATATGACATACAATTAATTTTTAAAAAAACTACATATATATTAAAAAAATCCAAACCAAGAAAAAAGCTCCACAGGAGTTTATTCTGAGTTTTGCCTGCTCCTTTTTCCTTCCTTTAAATTTTACATACATGGTGCCACATTTTCTTCTTCCTTTAATGAATGGGAAGCTTCCATTTCTTGCTGTTTATATAAGAATGAAAAATTTGCCCTGTTTTCTCAGCCATTGCATGCAACAAGTAATTGAAGGAAATTTCAGGGTTTTGTGCACTTAATAGTCTGTACAGCTTGATACCTGCTGGTCTAAATTAACACACAAAGAACATGAACTACAACCTTGTTCAGATTTGGTGAGATCTGTGTTAAAATCTCGTACCATTTCCATGAGGTGAGAGTAGAAAAATTTACCCTGTTAAAGAATTCACTTCACAACACAAATTAACATGATGCAATTATTAGAAATAAAATGGAAACTCCATAAGACTATCATGTATTTTGGGAGCCTAAGTCTTGTTATGATTGCAGGTTTCTAGACATTCAATTTCTAGACATTCTAGAAAATTATGTAGGGTTTGAGTCTAAATTATTGCAGCAAAACCAGGAAACATTTGACAGCTTTTTGTAACTTTCACTGTGATACCTGAGATGAGCAAAGATTCTCAGGCATCAAATGTTGAGCAAAACTATGTGTGTGAAGAAAAAAAAACACTAAAAAGTACTGAAAAGTCCAGAAGCTTCATAATAATTTTAATGAAAGTGGATTATGGCTAAGATCAACTATGTCTGCTGCAGCATAAATCCTATGGTGTTAAAAATATGATATGAGATTGTAAATTGTACTCAGGTACATCAAGGAAACATTTAATTGGAAAATAAGTCAAAGAGGGCCACTGGTTGTTGAAGACCACCCTAGGTTTCAGGGTGGCTTCATGTGGTGGAAAAGCTTCTCCTCCAACCCGTGCTTCCAAAGAAAGGCTCAGTAGTCTCTTGTTGTTCGGTCTCATGGTTGTTTATTGCAAGTTATCTAAAAGATTTTCTTCTCAGGCTGCTGTGGTTTGCTCAGCAGCTCAGACAGAGGCACACACACACCCTGACATCCTCTCTGACTCCTGACTTCTTCTCTCCCCCCGCCCAGGGTTGGTGCTATCTTTTATATGGTACATTACGTGTTACATGTTTACAGTTTTTCCCCAATACCTACTACCTATATTAAATGGTGCTTTTATACTCTAAACCAATCTGTGAGTGCCAACA